TTTTTCCCACTTTTTCCCCAGCAGCCGGTGCACACAGCTGCTTGGGGCGGCTGCTGGCTGGGGCAGCGCAGGACCGACCCTGGCAGGGGGTGTGCGTGAGGACGATCCCCATGGCTGCTGCCACCCTGCTTGGCCTCTGCACCTCATGGGTGGTGGCCCCTTCCCGCGGTGGCAGCATGTCACCGACACCCACCTGCCCTTTCAGGCTGGTCCTGCCCCTGAGCTTGCGAGGTGGGAGCGAGGTGAGGCTGGAGTTGGCCAGAGGCAGAGAGCGGGTGCCTCTGTTGCATCCTGGCTCCTCTTCCAGCCCCGTCCCCATCCCACTGAAGGATGCCATTGTGCCTGTCCCCACGGGAGCACTGGTGCCTTATCTCCATGTGCCCCTTGCCTGGATGCCACTTGAACTCTGGTGCCTTCTTCTTTGAGCGTTTGGTTATGAAAAGACATATTTTCCTGGACCTCTTCTAATAAATCAGTGGAGAAAGCCCTGGAGCGACGTGGCTGTGTCCCCGTCTCTGTCCCAACATGAGAGAGGGGTCTGCCTCAGAGAGAGGATTTGGAGATCCCTGGCTGGACACCTCATCATTGTCTGAGCATCATCTCATTGCTGCTGTCTCAGCCCTGCACCCACTCGAGCTCCTGCAAGGGTCCCCATGCTCCCTTATTAATGAGTGTTAATCAACCCCGCGCACATCAGGACTGGAAACTGGAGGGTGAAGCATTGCCTGCTGGTGATGGTTTTTAGGTAGGTTTAGGACATGTGGGTTAACTCCGTCCCAGTGCAGGAGCTGAACAGGGGTGGTGATGTCCTGCCCCAGGGTCCTTCTTTGGCTGAGGCTGGGGAAACTCCCTCACACCTCTGTTGTGTCCAAAGGTGCACCCTTGGGTGCTGGCTGGGGCTGAGCTGGTCCCGTGTAGCCTGGAGGACCCTGTTTGGGCTCCCCTTCCTTCCCTGCTGCCTTGCCATATGAGACCCCTGCCCAGCCCACACAGGCATCCTCCTTCCCCCCAAAAAACAACACTGACAAAGTGCCTGTTCTGATTTCAGTCTCTTTATTATTTATCATTCTTTCAAAATAGGATATGTTCAAAAATATAAATAGGTGCAGGGAACGCTGGTGCCCCGCACGGTCCCCTGGAAAGAGCACGTTGTCCCGGGACGGGTGCTGTGCTGCAGGGGGGGCAGCGGGGAAGCAGAGAGGGGCCCCATCGCCTGGGTCCTGGGTCTCAGCATCCCCTTGCCTCCCTCCTCCCACAGCTCCTTCCACCGCAGCCCCCCAGCCCTCCCTACCCGCCCTGACGCGCTGCAGCAGTAGGAGGATTCTGGAAAAAAAAAATAAAACCCCAAAAGGTGCTGTTCACCCCGGAGATTAAATAACAGAAATAATTACATTGTTCGTGGATAAAATCAGGAAAAAATAATCATCTTTATTATTTAACTTAACCCCCTGCCCTCTGCAAACCCACCCCCCTCCCTGTCCCTGAAGGCACGAAGATAATTGGAACCGGACGGTTAGTAAAAATGCTGAGATCTAATTCGCTTTGCTTTGGTGCTTGGAAAAAACATTAATTTTTTTTTATATATATACACAAAGGTGGGTTTGTCTTTAATATAATTTTTTTTCCTTATATGACAAAAAAGCAACAAGAAGAAGAAGAAATCGACTCTGTTAATATAACTGTTCTGTTAAAAATCTCTCTCTCTCGCTGGCTTTCCCCCTCGGTGTTTCTCGCCCCGGTCTAATGGGTGGGTCTGTGCACGGCTCTGCCGCTGGGTCTCGACCGGCTCCTGGGGCTCCTCTTGTATAGCCTGCGCTGGTAGCTGGAGGCTGCAGGAGAGGGAGGAGAAGAAAAGGCACCTTGTTAGCAGGAGCTGGGACAGAGGCGCTGCTTGTCCCGTGCTGGCTCCCTGGATAAATGTGGGCAGCAGCAGGCAGAGCTGCTCGGTGGGCAACTTTGTGTGCCGCGGTGCCAGCCTGCTCGCCCGCACACAGTCGGCCCTTCTCTCGCCCCCGCAGCTGGGGTTTGCTTCACCCAGGGCTGACGACGCCCGGTGCCTCCTGGGAGCAGGGGCAGGAGCATCCTCTCTGCGGAAGCTCAGCCTGTCCTTTCCCTGTGCCCGGCCGGGAGGGCAGCTCTCTTAATGGGGTGGGCATGGAGACCGCTTCCCTGTCTCACCCGCTGCCCTACCAGTTGCTCTCCAGTCCTCTGGGACAGGGAGGGAAATATCCACCAGCAGTGGGATGTGCTCGGGGCATAGGAGGGGAAACAGCCTTGTCTGTCTGGCAGGGACAAGGTTTCTGCCTGATCCTTCCTGCCAGTCTGCCTCGAAGCTGGCACTGCTCCGGTGTGAGAATTGCAGGAGGGTTTTGATGGAAGCAGCAAAAAAAAAGCTGGCTGGGAACAGCCTAGGTCTCTTGATTGCTGATGGTCTGTGCTCGGAGAAGCCTGCAGCTCTCCGTGTCCACAGCAGAGCCAAAGGAGTCAGTGGCTCGGACACCTCCTCCATCCCTCCTCCTTCCATCTGCTCCCTGGGACAAAGGTTTGTCCCTTAAGCCCATATCAGCTCTCCCTGGTCATGGGACCGTTGCTTTAGCTGGAATTGCCCAGCTGGACCAGAATCTGGCAAGGAGACCACTGGACAGATGCTGTTTGGCGGAGGCCGACGAAATTACTGGGAAGTTGCAGGCGAGCAGGGATGGGACAGGGGTGTAGGCAGGCCTGGGAGTGGGCTGGGACACCAGTGGGAGAGGGCTGGCTGCCATCAGCTGGAGGCCTGACAGGAGAAGGATGAGGAGCCCAGCCCCGTCCCTCGGCTTAGCTCTGCTGCAGGGCTCCTGTCCGCTCCCAGGGCAGGGGGATGCCGGGCAAGGGCACAGCTTCCCCCTCGTTTTCTCTCTCTGCCGATGCCAGTGGTGCCAAAACTCACCGTTTCAGAAGCTATTACTTTTTCTTTCCTTTCTTTAAGCAGCCTGGGCCCTTGGTAAGCTCCTTGTTGCCCTTTCCTGGCTCTGGAGCTGCCCCTGCCCTGCCTACATGGAGGACCCGCCGGGGCAGGAATTGCCTGGGCTGCCCCTCCAGCCAGCCCCTGCACCCCACACCTGCCCAGAAGATGCCAACTCCTATGGCCCCATCACAGCGGACCTTTCAACAAGTCAAGTGGGCCATGATGTCCTCTTCCACCTGGCTCGGAGCTAACCTGCACCCTGAGACGATGCCCCCCTCCTTTCATTCCCAGCTCCTTCTCCCAGCTGCAGGGATGCATCAGCCCTAACCCGTAGGTAGAGGGGCCGAGACGTACGGTTTATGCAGGATATCCGCGGCTCTTCCCACTGCCCGTTGGGCTGGCACCGAATTGTGGGCACGTGGCGCTGGATGAAGCCTTGGTTGCACTGGTACCGCACCATGGAGTTTATTTCGTAGCGGTCCTTCTTCCGACCGAAGGTCCTGGCGTTCTCCACCACGGGGGGGTCACTGCAGGCCACTGCAGGAGATGGACAGAGACATGGAGAGCTGGAGGATTCCTGCCTGGATGAGCAGGCAGCTCACATCTGGGCAGCTCCTGCCTGCCCAGCGCAGGCTGGACACGCACAGCCTCCTTCGCTCTGCTTCTCCTGCACCCTGTCCCATGAGGTCTCAGGGCTGCAGAGAGGGAGTGTGTGGTGGCTGCTTGAAAGGTGTGGATGGAAAGAGGCATCCGTGTCCATAGCCATCCTTGCCCAGCCCTGAGATGCAGCGGGAGTGATGCCCTCCCCTGTTATTTCCCCCTTGAATAACATCTTTGATCTAGAAGCTGGCTGGGTCCCATCTAGGCAGATGCCATCATTTGAGCATGCTGGACTTTCTTTTGCTACGTCCACAGAGGGATCATTTGTTTCGGAGAGGACAGACAGAGGCAGTACAAAAAAGGGAAAGTTGATTAAAAAGTTCATAAAACCTTAAATCCCTTTGAGATTGCTTCTGCCCACAAAATCTAGGGGTAGAAGAATATGAAAATTCTGTGATGGGCCTTGAAATCAAGCAGCAGTCTGCCTCAGGGCTCCGTTCCTGCCTCCCAGAGAGGCAGTGAGAGCTGGACGTCACAACAGCTGCTTGTGTCCATGGGAGGGCATGGAGCTGGTGTGCAGGAGTGATGCTGCAGCTGGGCGCTGCTCTGCCAGGGGATGTGAAACCCTGGCCCTGGCAGACCCGCAGCCACAGCCTAAGACCCCCAGCCTTGCTGACACAGTGCAGGGTGCTGACCTGTTCCTCTCTTGCAGGTGAAGGGAAGGTGATAGTTGCAGGGAACATCGTTCCATTCGCCTTGCTCATGCCAGATCATCACAACGCAGTCCTCACCCGCCGCGAAGAAGTTATCAGGTTGGTTGGGCCGCCAGTTCTCAAATTGCTGCCGGGAGAGGAAAGCCGTTCACCTAAGGTTGAGTCCTCCCCTCTGCTACTCCCTTCTTCATCCCTGCTGCTGCCTCCCCCATGCATCTCACCAGCAGAGACCATGGGTTGCCAGTACTGTACTACAGTGGTTATTTCTGTCGTGATGGTGCCCAGGAGTTTAGCTGATCAGCTTTACTAGAGGCTTGGAAAAACCATGAGCCCTCCAAAGTTTAGGGCTGCCTCCCTCAACGCCCAATCCAAGCACTCAGCACGTAACTCACTCTTCCCGCCCAAGGGGAACCTCTTCCCCCCCTCTGAAAGCCAGCCCCTGCCCGCAACCCGGGCTGCAGGCTCACCAGGGAGTGCCCGTCAGACCAGCGGAAGTCATTCTCCACAGCTCTGTCGCTGAGGCCGATCCACTGGTAGTCCTGTGCGTGGCCTGGAAGAGACGGTGGGGGAGAGAAGAGTAGGTCATGGTTCCCCTATACCTTGTTGGAAGCCATCTCAGCTCTCTCTGGCTCTGGAGACTCCTTTCCAGGCTCCTTCCCAGTCACTAGCCCCTGATGTCCTATTTTGCCTGCATCATGCTTGTCCTTCTTCCTCCTCACTCAGCGTGCCATGAACATGGATTCACCCATGTTGGCATGGGTCACTGCACTTGTTGCAGCAAGTGAACATCTCATAAACAAGCCACATCAGCAACGTGGTAAGAGTGAAGATCTGTCCTAGCTGAGAAAGAGCCCTCTTCTGTCTCATGGTTCTTTCTTTCTCACGCAAGAGTGAGGCCTTGTTAGGAAATACCTGAGCACTAGTGGGGGAAATTGTGGATTTTACATGATTTTGGATAAATCTGCTCATAGACTCAGAGTCCAATGGAAGGACCCCTGTCCAGTCTCAGCCTGCCCTCAGCACTCACTGTTCACAAATTCTTGCTCCTCTGGGGTGATGATACTGCTCAGGTGGGCTTGATGTTGTCGGCATCTGGTCTCTGCGTCCATCCAAGTCTCCCTCTCCTCAAAGTGCCTGTAACAGTGGCCTTGGAACTTGGTCCAGCCTTCCTCACAGTTTTCCAGGTCTGAAACACACAAAGGAGGGATGAAAAGGAGTTGGTGGATGGGTCTGGAAGCTTTCCAACTCACCTCTTAAGCATCTTATGCTCTCATGGCACGGGACAACGCATGGTCACTTCCACTAAAAAGCAAACTCTGACACTGTTGCCTGTGGGAAATCCCAGGGAAAATTATCAAAAGGCATCCAAGACACAGACAGAGCGGGGAACCTGGGTTGAAAACCCCATGTTTGCAGTAACATGACCAGTGCTAGAAAACTTGAGCGATACAAACTGATTTCTGATTCAATCCCCATGTCATGTTCCTGGACTCTGTTTTTGAGGAACTGACCAAGCAAGAACGTCTCTCTTCCCACTTGCGCTGGCTTGCACAGTTTTCTTGCTTTTGAAAGAAAGTCCAAATCCTGAATCCAGATGCCCAGAATCAGCACATATGTGTTGAAAATGAAACAGGGGAGGAGAGCCCAGGTTCAGGTGGTCGCATTGCTTGGTGCGGTTCTGGTGCTCTGGAGGAGAAGCAAGCCTACCAAGATCGGAGAAAAGAGTTGGAGGCAGGAACTTACCATGGTGGAGAGAGAACATGAAATCTCAAGGAAAAAGCTTGGAAACTGCTAGAGAAGTAAAAAAATTTCTCAACCTTTCAGAATATTTTTTACCATCCGAGAAACGCTGAAGAGTCGAACATATTAACCAAAAAAAATTAAAAACACACATGGAGGAGAGCAGAAGCGAATGTAGAAACCACAAGAAAAGACCTTCAGCAGCTCTCTTGCAATGCAACACCATACATCTGCTCCATGTGAATAAAGGAAATAGAAAATGAATTGTGTTTAAATCTCAGCCTTTCAGATGCCCGATCTACCATCCTTTCTCAGGGATTTGCTGCTCTAATGGCCTCAAGTTGCCTCAGGAGAGGTTTAGATTGGATATTAGGAAAAATGTCTTTACTGAAAGAGTTGTAAAGCATTGGAACAGGCTGCCTGGGGAAGTGGTGGAGTCACCATCGCTGGAGGTGTTCAAAAAAAGTGTAGAAGTGGCACTTCAGGACATGGTTTAGCAGGCACAGTGGTGATGGGTTCACAGAATCATAGAATCA